TATTGCAGTTGCGTCCTATAAGGACATTTTTAAACTTATACATTTGATGTGTAAGTTTGAAAATATCCCTATAGGACGAAACTGCAGTAACGTTACCTACAAATAACTTTAACATTAATGTATATTGTATACATTTAATTTATAAGTTTAAAAATGTCCTTATAGGACACGAAACTACAGTAACGTTAGTTACAAATAAAAGTGGTGAAAAACATAGAAAGTTTCTATTCTCTTTTCTTCATTATGATTTCCTACCACGAAGTAACGGCTGCATCCATCAATTCTGTTATCAAAAACAGTTATAAATAGTAAGGAGATATCAAACTCATTTTGTATATTATTTTACCAAATTGTTCAAAGTCATGAGAAGATTAGTATGCTATAGAAACGAATGATAAATCCAAAATAATTCAAAATTGAAGGTTCATTGAAATTTACCACATCAAGATGATCCACCACCTAGAAATGATATTATAGTCGTTTCATAACACAGATATAAACGTAGTAAACGCTCCAGTATTGTTGGAATTCATTCATGACAAAAACAGTTATTTTTCATTTTTATGTATTTTGACTGGGAACTGAAATAAATATAGTCGATTGAAATTAGTGTTCTTATTTATTATTCGAAATAGAATGTAGACAAAATTCTTTCAGTCAATCAGTCAAAATATATTTCATTTTCAAAAACAAAATTTCATTGACAAAGCACTGGTACATAAAACTAAATACAATTCACCAATCAGTTTGTGAGTTATGTCAGTAAAAAGGTAACAGCCCAACAAGAAATTTTATATTTTATACTAGTTGCCTAAAAGTTTCTGAGAAACAAATTATAAAACTGTATTTCTCCCAGAAATGTGTTCAATACAACAATATATGAAATATCATATATTAATACTCATTATCCTATAATAATCCTATTACCGCTGAAGACAAAAATGGGTCCAGTCGTTCTTGAGTTCTTTCATTATAATAACAATAATCATTATTGGTGAAGTATCATATTTTAATACTCATTATCCTATTCCCGGCGAAAACATTCAAAAATCACAAAAATTGGTCCAGCCGTTCGTGAGTTCAAATATTATTATTATTATTTTCATTGATGATATGCCGTATTTTGATACTTATTATCAAAATACTTATTATCCTATTCTCGACGATGACAAATCCAAATCACAAAAATCATAAAAATTGGTTTAGCCGTTTTTGAGTTCTTTATTATCATTATTATTATTTACCGAAGTATGGTCAGGCCCTATCCCCCGAAGCCCAGATACATTCGGGAGGGCGCGCCAGCGTTATCAACCAACGACCACTCCCCACATCGTGTGGTAAGTGATCATTGGGTCCGAGAATCATGTGCCCTGAGCAAGCGCAGTGAGCCAAGAATGCATCTGTCCGGCTAAGATTTCTGCCTTAGTGCGGCAAGCCGGTATGATTTTTAGATTCGAAAGTAGAGAAAGCATAATTCCACCAAGGATTCCAATAATCCAACCATCTTGATAGTGTGGTCTGGATAGATTCTGCGGAGTTCGAAGAGAAAATCTCGATAATTTATCCGTTTTTCCACGACAAATATCGTTTTGCTATGGTGGTCGAGAAGAACTATATCTGGCTTATCAGCTTGTATGAGCCTGAGGGTGGGGAACGAATAGTTCCAATAAATCCGGCACTTCTCGTTTCCCACAACGAATTCAATATCCCCCGGAGCGTAGGGTAACACCGGTGTCTCGTCAATACCGTAAGAGTGCCATAGATGGTAATATAGCACTCTTAGGGCCGCTTTTATGTCGATAGATATAGGTCGAGGCCGCATATGCTGAACATGCTGATAGCAAGTGCATTAGAGTCTCTGACGCCTTGCGGCAGGCCCTGCTTTTTATGTAAGGAACCTCTATACCCATCACGCGACTGCGGTAGACTGATGTGTTGAAGATACTATCCTGACAAGCTATAATGAACCCCTCAATTCTGATTTCAGCCTACTAGACCTGAAAAAAGCGAAAATCAGGCGCTTTGATAAGTCAAGGTCTCCAATGTTATTGAAGAAGACCCCATGCATTGGCTTATCCTTCTGTTTCCGCAAAAGAGACGTGATCTCTGTGGCTTTTATATGAGCTTTGCTGAACGGGTTCCAACTCGGTGACAGAGTTGTGGTCACTTCGTTCAGTGTAGAAAACGAAAAACCGAGTTCATCGGCTGCTTGGGCAGCTGCCCTAAAGAGAAATGCTCCAATTCCTGATCTCTCATGATCGCGGACTATGCAGAGAAGGGGATCCGAACTCCTGACGACTTTACAGGCTGTAGTACCATTCTGTCATGTAGACACTTCAAAGTCGAAAGTCCACGGCCTCCCTGTTGTCGGGAGAAGTACAGCAGTGGAACGGACGATTTGGGATGCAAACTCCCATAGAGATGCATTATTTTTCAGGTCTTTACGTTAAGTTGATACAGCTCCTCACTACTCCAAACGAGTAGAGTAAGATTGGAACGGCAAGCATATTTGTTGCAGCAACTTTGTTCTTCCCCGATAGTTCCGATGACCAGATCTGTCGAAGTTTGTGCTGATACTTGCCGCGGAGAGAGTTCTTCACTGTTGTAACCTCTTGTGAGTTGTTCCACCCCGAGGTAAGTATACGTCTCTCTGGCATCCAAATAGTATAGGATGCTTCCATCTACGAGCTGCATACCCTCTCCGTAGTTCCCGCATCGTCCTCTTTTGAGATAGACCATTGCACATTTTGTCTATCCCGAATTTCATACCGATAGCATCCGTGTACTCTTTCCACCACCCTCGAGGACTGATGGAGATCCTTCTCTCCAGAGGCATGAAGATCAAGATCATCCATATGAAACAAATGGGTGACCTTGTGCCTCCAGTTTCCGGGGGTGCCACAGTTATACCCTCGAGTATTTCTGAGCGCTACGGATAATGGCAATAGTGAGATGCAGAAGAGAAGGGGGCAGAGGGAATCGACCTGAAATACACCCCTTCTGAAAGTTTGGACTCTGGCTTGACCAGATGTTATGGTGAAGCGAGTTCGCCAGAGTGGTATCAGGGTACCGGGTACCGCAAGGCATCTGAGCAAATGCAAGATGAGCTCATACGATATTGTATCAAATGCCTTACGGTAATCGATCCAGACCATAAGAGAGGTTGCGCTTATATTGTATCGAGTCCTGCGTTACACATGTGTCGATAAGCAGGTTCTCTTTACATCCAGCGACTCCTTTCTTCGATCCTCACTGCTCATATATCCATTCGAACACTCGGCCAACAGCGGTGCGTATTCGTGTGCTTGTAAACAACTCAACACCAATTCAAGCATGTTATCGGTCTGTAATTCTTGAGAATCGACAAATCTCCGTTTTTGGAAATGAGAACGGTCCGCCCCTCGATAAACCAATCCGGAATCGGCTGCTCTCCGTCCAGCCATGAGTTGGAAACTCTGACCAGATGGCGATGGGTGCTTGTTAGTTTTTTCCACCAATATGTGTTCAGCCCATCTGGGCCTGGAGCAGCAAATTTCTTGGAACCCACAAGTTCTCTTCGAACGTCATCCGGGGTTATCGGATGACGTTCGAGTCGGATGACTCGCCGCACTGCGGGCGTGAAAGGCATGTTAGCCGCCCTGTAATCCATCACAAATTGGATACGAGACGCGTGTTGTCTCGCCGTCGTGATCTTAGCCTACATCTTGTGTACACGCCGTTCAATCTCCCTAACCGCAAGGCCGGGATTCCATCCTTCCGATTCGGAAAGCGATTGGACGACGCTATACACGGCGGTGTTGATTTACCAGAGGTCAGCCTCTTCTGTTAAAACAGTATGAACCTCCACATCCAAACAAGCCAGTTCTTGTGGCTTCAGGGGGCTAATTCTGTGGAGCGCCTTGCGTGTTCTGATTTTTTTCCTTGGTGGCATGATGCGAGTCTCCGCCCCGGCCGTGCCAACGGGTAGTAGAACTGTCACTTCTACCACTTCGTTAGCAGGCTGGGAGGGAGCTATATAGCCCTGCCACCGAAGATAGGATACGTAATCCCTAAGATTTTGGGCGAAAAGGCGATATGCTTTGAATGTGTTTCACGCCACAGAGCATGTAATCTCACTGTGTACCCTCTTTGCGCAGGTTCACTACTCTCGTAGCAATGCAGAAGGCTGTCTCTTAACTCATGCGTCCATTCAAAGCGTCCGTTGCCATTGCCAGGGTTATTATCGGTAGGCAAATCATCGTTATGGGTCCCACCACCTTGCCTCTGACCCCTCCGAGCGGGTCGATTGTGAGGACCCCCCCTTGATTGCTAGGAACCAAGTGTTGTATCCACCGGGTGGTTAGCCCTGTAGATCCACGGCGGAGGGAGAATAGTGTTTTCCTTCGTGGGTGCGGCTGGGCTTCCAGTCCGGTTTTGCACCAGTTGCTCGTGTAAGTGGTGTCGCAACTCACCAAAGGCCAAGGGTGTTACCATCCCTGCTTATATCAAGAGGAAATACTTCCTTATGTGAAACATTTTGCCCAGTTCAACGGTGAAAAAATTTACATTTAAAAAAAATGATGATTTGTGTTGCCCCGCTTCAGACGAACACTTTGTATATTCCAAAATATTTTTTTAAATAAGCTACAAAGTAAACCATATAACTTTCATCTGAAAAACTTTATCATACTCATTTTTACTTTCACCCCGGAGTATTTGTTTGTTGAGTTGCTTTCGGAATTTGTCTGCTGGTGGCGCAGTTGTACATCCTACTGAACCAACTGCAGGCAGAGCTTATGACTAGTTGGAATTAATATTGTTTTTTCGGGCTAGTACTCCGAAATCGGTCTGTCAGTTTTCATTCAAACCAAATGAAAATAATTTTAGCTTTTCATATATTGGAAGTTACTTGTGACTGATGTTTCTCTCAAAGATGATTTCTAAACGAACATTTTTAGGTATTCTTCGAAATCCTATTTCTTTCTAAAAAGAATGTAAATATTGTTATACATTTGATTTCAGGTTGGAATAAGGAGGAGCAGTTGAGGTCTGTTTCTATTATGGTAATGGAAAAACTACCAGAAGACAATTACCAGGTTTTGAAATATATCATCAAATTTTTATCCAGGGTAAGATTGAAGTATACTTTCATAATTTTTTAAGAAGCAAAGGTGGAACTGGAACTTCTGGCTAGAATAAAGCCAAACAAGCACAGTTCCCAAACATCAGAACCTAAACAGTGCTTGTTTTGGATTGATGATTTTTAAGGATTCATGTATAGAATAAAATGTTATGAAAGTTCATTCATCACTGAAGTTAGTACAAAAGGTCTAACTGTTATATTCAGTAATAGTGACATAAAAATGAAACAGCTCATATATTCATCAACTTTTATTAAAGAACCTCTGATTCTTTTTTGTCGACTTAATAGATGAAGCTCTAAAAAACTTCAAGGATAAATATTTGCTATTATTGAAGTGAAAAAATAAAAATTCAAAATTTTCTCTTTAGTCTGTCTAAGATAATATCTGTCACTTCTAATGTTGAATCAAACGGTGCTTATCGAGTCCATGGTGGTTATCGGGTTCATAAGCCCAATGGGAATTATGGAATTTGGATTTTCTATAAATATCTGATGAAACATAATTTGCACTTTATTCTCATGCCCTTATTTATTGAGGAACGTACTGTAAGAACTCAGTCCATCAGTCATAGGTTTACAGATCCATAAGCCCCATTGGCATTATGGAATCTAGGTTTACTATAAATATCTAGTGAGCACCTAATTTGCACTTTATTCTCATGCCCTTATTTATTGAGGAACGTACTGTAAGAACTCAGTTCATCAGTCATAGTGGTTTTCAGATCCAGAAACCCCATTGGCATTATGGAATCAAAGTTTACTATAAATATCTAGTGAGTACCTAATTAGCACTTTATTCTCTTGCCCTTATTCATTGAGGAACATATTATAAGAACTAAGTACAATAGTCATGGTGGTTTTCAGGTCTATGAGCCCCATAGCAATTATGGAATCTAGGTTTACTATAAATATCTAATGAGCACCTAATTAGCACTTTATTTTCTTGCCATTATTTATTGAGAAATGTACTATAAAAACTCAGTACATGAGTCATGATGGTTTTCAGGTCCATGAGCACCATATCAATAATGGAATCTAGGTTTACTATAAATATCTAATGAGCACCTAAAAGTCAAGCTGGCGACCCAGTTAGATGATGAATTGAGTGTTCTCACTGTAAATGATGAAACATTCGGTGACAAAACCTTTAAATATTGTCAAACCAAACCTATTAAGTACCTAACTTGTATAGAATGTGGAAATTGTTTTATCATGTATCATGTTCTGCTAAAGCTAAGCTTAAATGTATAAAAATGTATAAAATGTATAAAACTCAGAATGGAAAATGAGATGCTCAAACAATTCATCAAAGAAAAGGAAGATATGTATAATCTACTTATGGAAAATAATAAGCTGTTGCAAATCAACAATAGTTTATTATCAGAAAAAGTTGAATCAATGAAGATTGAAACTGACAAAAAAACAAGGACAAACCCAAAACAAAAATACAGTACTGCGGCAAAAACAAACTCTTCGATAAATACCACTAAAAAGACGTCTGTTTTTTTTTTCAAGAGAATCCTAGTCAGTCAGATAAAAAAGATAGTGACTCACCTGTGGAAAACATTGTATCAATCGAGAATGCCCAACTGGACTAGTGAATGAATTTCCAGGTGAAAACAAAATATTCATGAAAATATTCTCTAAGGAAAATAAAAACACATTTATCGAAAGCTTAAAAGAACAAAACTGGTTGGATATATTATTACCTCCACAAATACTTTACCAGCTTTTCAACAGTGGAGACGGTAGTGGATATAAAGAAAGAAGAACGGGGTAAATCAATTTGCGAATCTTTTATTGATAAAAGTTATGGGAAAGAGGTCGTCGGCAAATATAAAGAGACAGTTTGTTTTTTTTTAACAAAAAATGGTAACGAAGATTGTCAGTTCTAACTTCCGTGACCAATCTACAAAATTTCATTTATTCACAAGGAAAAAATATTAAAAGGAAGGATTTTGTCACAATGATTTCCTCGTTGTCTAACTCAACTGATGAATTATATACCCTCTAGTATGCATACCTCGGTTTACAGTTGCTCAAAGGTAGCAAAGGTTTTAAAATTTCAACACAATACACTAAACTGATATAGTCGAACCAAGTAAAAGTAGGTACTTTATGTAGTGGGTTACGCAGTAGCGCTGACAGTTTTGGTAGTGTTACTCCTGTGATACCAATGCGTCCCGTTCAGAACTAAATGAATGTCGCTACCAACAATAGTGAGTTATATAGGTGTCCAAGAAGTGGAGATTCACCAACCGCTTTTCTCAAAGTTGGGGAGATTTTAAGGGCGTCATCAGTTAGCAACGAATTGGCAAATGGAAAATGAAGTCCTAAAAATTGTATACATGTCAGAACATAATTTCTTGCAAGCAAGAAGGTCGTATCAATAAAACACAAAATGTTTGTTCATACCTGAGATGGAGTGTGGTCTTTTGAGAAGTCTGAGATCTTCGACAAGTGAACTTCAATTTGAAAGTTTTGAGTAATTCCTACAAGTAGATCACCAAAGCCGGTTTCATGACACCAGCCAATGAGAGCGTAGCAATTTGTCACATGGCCAGTTGTTCGGTATACGACAGAGAATCGAGCAGCGTTATCGCGGTTTGAATGATAACGATTCGAGCGCGCTTGGAATGAGAATGAATGGGTATACAGGATGTTGACGGAAAAGACAAAATACAGAGTGTGTGCAGCGTTAAAGAAAAAAACATGGCGTTCAGAGTTGAAGAAAGAAAACATGGCTACCATGGTGATATACAGGGTGTGCAGCGTTAAAGAAAAAAACAGGGCGTCCAGCATTAAAGAAAAAAAACATGGCTGCGAACATGCAAGAAAAGAAACATTCGTCATCAGGAGATGACGGAAAAAAACATAGATGACGCGCGGGCAACATGAAAGGTTAGGAGGGTCTAATATTTTTTCGTGGGATCCAACATGCCAGGCATTATTTGTCTTTAATGAATGTGTCAAATATATGAATTAACAAAGTTTCGGATCTGTACGATCGTGATATACAGGGTATGCAGCATTAAAGAAGAAAACATGGCCTCCAGCATTAAAGAAAAAGAAATGGCTGACATCAATGTGTACAGGGTGTGCAGCGTTCAAAGAAAAAAACATGGCGTCCAGCATTAAAGAAAAAAAAACATAGCTGCCAACATGCAAGAAAATAACTATTAGTCATCAAGAGATGACGGAGAAAAAACATAGATGGCGCGCGCGCAACATGAAAGATTGGGAGGGTCTAATATTTTTTCGTGGCATCCTGCATGCCAGGCATTATTTGTCTTCGATGAATGTACTTTTGATGCACTGTTTGTAACCTTTGGTGTACTGGAGTTTTTTCCCAACACCAAATCCTTATTTTTAACACCTCGACACGTGTTTCGATCACCAAGTGATCATCTTCAAAGAGGAAGATTTAATCTTCCTCTTGAATGTGTCAAATATATAAATTGACAAAGTTTCGGATCTGTACAATTCATCGAAAAACAAACGCTTCCGGTTTATAAAAATTGAGTTAGAAGCAAAGTAATGGTGAATTCGGAATGGCCATATCATGTAGAGTCCAAATCTACAAAAAAATGGTCACTGGAGAAGACGAAAATGAAAATTATAAGTATGTAGCATGGATTTTCCATCATTTAGGTAGTTAATTATAAAGTCTGTTGTTGTTTCGGATGTTGTGATTATATTTGACTCGGTTGTGCAACGTTGCCAAATGTTAGGTGGTAAATGGAGGGAGTGGGGGGACGAAAACGCGGCATTGTGGAAGGGGGGAAATATCATTGTTTGAAAGTATGTCAATATTGTTGAACAGTTGAATTAGTTAGTGATAAAATGTCATCTGATGAATACAAACGGAAAGTCCGAGAAAAGAAGATTGTTTTGAAGCAGCTGAATGATTTAGATTTTCAAGACACAGCGTTCAATCGAAAAGTACCTGAAACGAAATATCCATTTCGAAGAAATCAACCTCGCAGCATAGATAATGCCGCCGCCAATGCTGAAAATGAATTTCGTGCTTTTAACTGCAATAATAAATAACCTTTTGTATGTGACAGTACCAAAGGGCGTGAAATGCATGGTAATATGTGTGAAGCAAAATAATTTTGGCAATGGATGCAATAGAACACAATGGAAATTGATGAGTTCAACATTTGTCAATGACAACCAGTTGGCAGTTTTTGAAAGCGAAGTGTCAAAGAATACCGCTTCAAATATAAACTGAGGCATCCGGGAAGTAGATACTAAAACGGTGGAATTTGTTCCAGAGCATGTAACGCAAATGCAATTTGAGCTTTATAGAAATCAGAAACCGATTTTATCGTTTTCCAAGTTGCTTCCACGTACTGCAAAATATGTTTCAAAATATGTCATTTTCCAAAAAAGTTTTTAAAATTGTGTAAACAAAATACTTGTAGATGGATTTCAAAAAATTAACGTCATCTCTCTTGTAGAGAAAAAACCCATTGTGAAATTGCCACATCGCCACTTAGGAGTGCCGTATCAAATTCATTAAGTCAAAATAGTGTCCACAAAATTTGGGTGGGCAGTACTCATAGAGCTAGAGAAGAGTATCGCGCTTTTACCGATGAGGGTCACCGCAACATACGAGCCATTCATCTCACATTTCCAAGGGGAAAAATACGCCCTCGTTTTCAGAGGTGTAAGAGACGTGGGTATAGCCAACCCTGCTACATAATTTGAGATTGTAGAAAATTGAGGTCAGTATTTTTGTTTTTCATTTGTTTTGTTGTATGTGGTAAAATGTGATTGGAAATTATTTCATGTTCCTTCATTTCCAAAAAGTGATATACCGTTCATCTTCCTCCTTCTCTTCAGCGCAACAGTGAAAAATGTTTCTTCAAGCTTCCCTTTGGCAAACATCTTCGTTCGCAACTCTACCACATTTCACCGAGGTTCGTTTTGCAAACCGTTCCTGTTTCATTTACCGAACTACTTCAATTTCCATTTGCCGCAGGGAAAAACAGTTGTGAGTTGAAAATGACGTTTTCTAAAACTTTATCGCAAATTGATAAATTGCTTGACGTAATCTCCATTGCACCAGCGTCTTCGAATTTGATTAGCAAACATATTAAAAAATTTGAATTGGCAATGAACAAAACTGAATTCTCAGTGGGGGAAAAGAAGAAAATTATAAATAAAATTGGGGAATTGAAACGTATCAGATGCATAATAAAAGTAACGAGAAATGATAGATATATTGGATCGGGTTTGAAACGAAGCAGTAGAGTTAAATGGGAAAATGTAAATGCCATTTTCAATAGTAGAGTGAAGACGGGTGTAATTATAAATTTAGCGCACAAATAAGTATGAATATTTTTGGGTGATGGATATTTTCTTTTCAAATGTGAAATTTCCAAAATTTTTAAGGAGATGCAATGCCTCAAAGTGAACATAACACTGTTGGGGGTTTTCATCAAAACTTTTAATGACGGGGAAATTATTGATAGAAAATATTTCAACACTCGTAATGAAATCATTGATGTGGGGACGGATTTGACTGATTGGTAAAATGAGCATGTTGTGGATGTTATTCTGAATAAACTCGATGAATTTCAGGAACGAGACTCTGGTTGGGCATTGAGTAAAATTCTTTTGCTTGAGGTAGCAATCGATAAATATGAAATGGGCAACGGTTCATCATTCATAAGTTTGCCCAAAGAGATTGCAAACAAGCTTACATGTGTGAATATTGTCAATCAAGATGATGCATGTTTCTTCAGAACAATCGTTAGTGCTTTGT